CTCTCTCTGTATTAGTTAACCAACTTGAGAAGGTATCCACATTTACAATTCATCCCTGGTTATCATCTTCCCAAGGAGGTACTATGGTCTTACTCTTATAGCTCAGTAAATGTAATTAGACTCGGTCTATAATGACCTCGGGAGCTACTGTACTCTACCATAAGCCTCTTTAGGATCCACTATGACCTTGAATATGATGATCTGTCTGAGCCATGTTAAGATCACTCAGAGACTTGACTGAGTTATAAAATATGTCACCTCCACTCAGCTAGTAACTTGACTAATCATTCCTGTAGAGTGTTCATAGATGCTAGTATTGTTTTCCTGAGCCTTACTCAATCCTTTCTGTCAACTTCATAATCATTACCATTATGTACTTGCTTAACTCTTAGCTTTTAGCTTCCTTAGGCCACTTTTCTTTTCATTGTGCTCTTTCATCCTTTAGGCTACCGACTCATCTCTTTGGCCAATTAACTTACTATTATATTTATGTCAATCATCCTTGCCTTAGAGAATTCTCTTACCATTTTACCATTCTTGCTGTCTCTTTTTAATTCCAAATGGTATAGGAAGAGGACTTATAAAATCACCTTTACTATCTTTCAGGATATTTTATCCTTACATTACTTTTGGCCAGTTTTGCACTCATTAGGGTAATGTTGACTCTGTGTGCCTTACTTTGGCTGCTGTTACTCTTTCTTATGGGAGGATGTATTACTCTTATCAAAGCAACATCAACGCAACCACTTTCTCTATTATTGATAAAAGACATATCACTTTTACTAGTACGATGTCAACTCTACTATTTTGGGAGGATGCACTATTTTCTTCGTAGCATTGTTAACTTCGTCGTAGCTATTTCTCTTTCTCTCCTTCAGAGGATAGCTCGTTCTTGGCAGAGCAGCATCAACTTTGAGTCGGAGGACTATCTCCCAATTTCTTGAGAGATACTCTGTGGCCAAAACCTTCTGGTTACTCAATCTCTATCATGACACATTCTTTACATGTCACATTCCTATCAGGGGAAGCCTCTTAGCCTGACTCATTCAATCATTTTGACAATAGCATTCATCTGTAGGGATCTCATCTCTTAGATTTCTTACTGGCGTGGTTGCTATAGTTACACTCGCCATAGATGCTTTAGGGACACAAAAGGGTACTATCTAGTCCCAACCATTACTGAGCATCTAGGTATCATCAAGAACATGTTCATCTCTTTATTCCGATTCCTAGTACAACCATCATCTTTAACATCTTCATCATTCCCTTTTCATCCTCATCCTCAAAGAATACTACCTAACTCTTACTCTTTTTAACTTCTCTTATATCTTGACCATTCATTCCTATAGTCATACACTGGTCATCATAAACTGACCATATTGCAGAGCATGCATAGATCATTCAAATACCTCTGCTATGTGACATTCTATTCAGGCACCCAATTAATCACCTGAGACTTAGCTTGTCACTCTACTTCCTTTTTAGGGTATAAACTCATACCCCTACTTGGCCTACATTACTCTCAGTCATTACTCTCTAAGGGAGTCTTTTGACTTTGACTCATACCCAGGTTAAGATTTCTCAGCTTAATTATTCCTCTCATGATGGGGAGTCTCTTAGCAGTAGCTACCTATCTTTTAGGTTACTCTCTGACTATTATTACTTACTACTCCTCTATGCCCATTTTTCCTATAAAAATCACCTCAATGTTTAACTCTTATTAGACCAGTTTTAGTAACCCATTACTTCCCTAAATGAGAGTTTTTCCTATACCAATCTTGTCTACAGCTCAGCTTGAACCCTTGCCAGAACCTTTGCTAGAAACTTTACCAGAACCTTTGCTATAACCTTTACTCTATACCCCCTTTAGTATGTGTCTGGAAGCATTATGATTCAAGTACAAAATAAGCTCATAGATTAACAATTCAAAATTTAATTATCGGGTTACTATTCACGTGTAAATTTCATATTTTTAGTCCAACTTTGAAAATTTATAGCTAATTATAAAAAAATCATATTGAGGTGATTTATGTCTCTATTTAAATATCTTTCAATTCTCTATAGGAATATATATATATGGACTTAAACCTTCTCAATTCATACATTTAATTTGTAAAATTTTACTGTTCGAATTGGTAAAACTATACATTCCATTTTCTCTGCCTAACTTTGAGCAATTATATTTCTTAGCGCATACATCCATTTTAGGTGATCTACCACTCATTTTAAAGATTAGGATGTGCTCTAATTACTCACCAAATTCCATGGGCAGATTTAATTGTTTGTCTCACTTCTACTTTATCACAAATTCGTGGCTTATTTAGGGATAATTTATTCTCCTTGTTTGCATTAATAATGCATTAATATTTATTTTTTTGCATGCAATCATTCCATCAATCCATTAACTATTCCCGTACATTAAATTATTCAGTTTTACCTACTGATATCATCAATCCTCATTTCATAATGTTAATGGCGTGTTTAATCATACATTAACATAAAAGGAAGTTTACTTCATCGCATAACATAATACATTATTCCTTCAACTCTTCTTTTCATTCTTGCATTTTCACATCTTGTGTTCTTCTCTTAGGCTCTTTGCACCCATTAGGGTTGGTTAAGGAAGAGTAATATTCAGGAGAATCTCAGTAGCAAACATTATCATTATGCATGCAAGATAGATGCAAGTGTATGAAATGCTTGGTTACACATACTTTCATGTCTATAAAGTGCCATGCTCATATGCTCAACATTTTATACACACATGGCCATGGATTAAACAAGAAACAAAGCAACATTTAACCATTCATACTTTCATTCATCATCAAACAACATCAACACAAAAGCATACACATCAAGCATACAAAATAGCTTGAGGTTTTATATTTAGAACCAAATAGAATGTCAAACTAACTCTTATATTAAGGACCGAAGGTAATATAATAGTATTTAGTAATTTTTGGTTATTAAGATGTGTTAAATGAGTTACGTGATTGTAAAACTGTATGCGAACTCCCATGACAAATGTTAATATGTAACCTTATATTTGAAATTAAGGGCGACTAGATTTTAGTATCCAATGCTGATAGGCATATATTGAATATGACGTTTTATTCTGTTTTTTTTTTTAATTATGTTTCTAAACAAAACGTGGCACATCAGAATAATCAGATTTTATAAACTTTGTTTAATAAATCTCAACGGTTTTTCATATTTGTAGCAAAATGTGATAATAATTAATTAATCCGTTAGGAAATTCTTCAATGTTATACTGAATGATTTGACACTAATTAATATTTTCATTGGTCATATACAAGTGTCAAGGATTCTCCATATTTGTGGCATAATTTGAAAATAGTACATAAGTTTGTTGTTAGGATAGGGTGGATATTTGTTATGGAGGATTATAAAAATTATAAGTATGTAAAAATACTAAACATAAAGTTTTAAAATTAAAAATAGTAAATTATGCCTAACCAAACTAAAACGAAATTGGCTGTTATAAGATAATAAAAAAAACTCAAATTTAAATATTAATTACATCATGACACATCAGAATAATCAAATTTTATAAACTTTATTCAAGTCTCAACGGTTTTTCGTATTTGTAGCAAAATGTGATAATAATTAATTAATTTGTTGTGAGATTCTGCCATATTATATTGAATGATTTGATACTAATCAACATTTTTGTTAGTCATATCCAAGTATCAAGGATTTCTCATATTTATGGCATAATTTGAAAATAGTATCAAGGATTTCTCATATACGGTGGATACTTATAATGGATGATTAAAAAAATTATAAGTATGTAAAATTACGAAACATAAAGTTATAAAATTTGTAGGAAAATGGGCCAGTCCACCCTCGGTGGATTGGATCCAAATCCATTTAAACTTGGGGTTCTGGCATAAATAACATAACATGTGGGTCGGGAACTACGATTTACTCTTTTTTTGGTTTAAACTGATGCAGGAACGGTTACAGGAATGTGAATGTGGAGGTCGTTTCTCCCTAATGGATATAAGTGAGAAAACTACCGCACAAAGTAGTCTCCTTCCCTCTTTTAGTTCAACGCCTCCCTCTCTCGGTCCCTTGTGCATTTGCTATGAAATACAATTTCGACTCCCTCATTGTGACCGGACCTCTACGTGGCTATCTGTATTTTATCCAATCTCTAGGTATGCCCCAAACTCTATAATGGTATCAGGGCTGTAATATTTTTTTTCCTACGGCCTTGTTCAATTTCTTTCCCTGCATTTGCGCTTACATTTACGTTTTTCTTTTCATTTTTTGGTGTGTTTCATGTCTGGTATTTTGGTCTATCTCAAGTGATTTGCTCTCAAATATTATGCAAATCCTCTCTTTATATCCAGTATCATTATTATCTATGATGCATTGAGATGTATCTATGTTATTTTGGGTTTCTCATTGCTCCATGATGCTCCGTTCTTATAAATATTTGTCTCCAACTATTATATGTTAGTAGTTCGCATGGGAGATGACCAAAAACAATTAAAAACATCTTAAAAACGGTAAAAATCTTAGGTTTGGAAACATGAAACTCATAATCTGTAAGGTTTGTTTTTGAACGGTTAAAGTTTTCATTTTTTTAGGTGTCTGGAAAACAAAGTTTTTAGGCTTCACAAATTATCCCATTGCGTAGAGCTCAAAAAAATGAAGAAATGACACCAAGAACTCGAAGAACAGACATCGAACAGAGGAGACATGGTGGTGAGAAGGTTGCGGGTATGACAAACCCAACCTGCGAAGGAATCCGGGTTGGTCAGACTTGACTGGAGGTTGAAGACAACCTCCAGCCTCTAAATGATACCGTTTTGGTGTAACTTAAAAAAAAGGGCCAATTAAACAAAAAAAGTGTGGAGGGAACCAGCTGGGCCAAAGCTAGACCGAGCCCAACCAGTTACCTGTCCAAATCCATTATTAAAAAAAATTTGATTAAAAAAGGGGAATTTAAAAAAAAACCTCACGACTACCACATGGCTCGTGCCGCCACATGGCATACCCCCTTAACATGTGCACACAATCGCTTGAAGGGTCACACGCTAACGGAACAGCGTGTGTTGCCGACGGTGGGTTCCATGGTGGCATGTGGAGTATACACGCCGTGCCCGTGAGTAGGCTTTGAAATTTTTTTCATTTTTGCAGAATTTACTCTTCGTGGGGTGCGTGTGGGCGTGTGAGACCTCCGTTTGAGGTGTGGTTTGTCTCTAACAATGCCTAAATTCATAAGCTTCATTATGATATATAATTTGCCTATTATGAAAGGCAATTCGGGATTTATTTCTTGAGTTTTTAGTGCTTTTTATTGATTTTATTTTTAAGAAAATTTTTAATTCAAAATTATTTTTATTTTAGGTAAAAATGAAGCAAGGGGCTTCGTCAAATGCTGAAACTTGTTCTTTCGGTTCGTTTAGCATTGTATACGTGGATGATGAGCTTCCGTAATACGAACCGTTAAATGAAGACTCTGAATAAGAGCTAGAGATAGACCTTGAGGAGGATCCAGAGATAGATCCTAAGGAGGATCAAGAAATATTCCCTGAAGAAGACTCAAAGGAGTTAATAGATTCTAGACGTGAGTCGAAAACTTTATTCCCCATTGAATCCCTCCGTGTCGAACCTCATTTGGTCTTTAAAGATTCACTTGTCTTCCCGATCAAACCGAAGTTGAGGAAGGAGAAGAAGTGAATCAACCCTGTACCCCTGCTTTATCAATGGCGTGCTCACCAGTTACATCCAATACATGACCGATAAGAAGAATACCGAATTCTACCTTAAAGTAATAATGGAATATATAAGAGCAATAAGGGTTAGAGGCGGACCTAAAGGCAAACCCATAAGGAAGTCCTACTAAATTTGGGCTATAGAATTAGTATCCTCTTTTATGACCAAAACGCGCAAACTTAGGAAACTAAGGAAAGCAATGCTTGATTACCTTCATGTTCATATCAAATGATGTAACATTTATATTTGCTTTATTAATATTTGTTATGTTAAGTTTTTGGTTTCATGCATTGTAAACAGACTAAATGTTTTATTTTATTTAATGAAATTACTTAAATTATTGTTAAATGATTATTTGTGAATAATATATGTATGCTTTTTATAAGTGGGAGCTTTTAGAAGATAAGACTTCTAAGAGTCACAATTTTTCTGAAGTGCTTATATAGAATTCTTGATAGAATATAGTGATTATTGCTTGTATCTATGTGATTAGAGATACAAACGTATGCTTTTGATCATGGATCTTGCAGTGTCATTATTTTCTGATTAAGAACAATATGAGTATATGACATTGTATACTTTGCTATGCTATATAACTAAAATGTTCTATGGTACGTCTCTCTTCTAGAGAGAACATAGAATAATGTGGGATAAATTTGTCACATAACTGAAAATAACAACCATGAACATAATTGTTGAGCTTAATAAAGGGGAAAGCTTAACAGGGACAACTGGGACATATGGCATCGAAAGGTCCAATACATCTTAGAGGAACAAGATGCTGTTGAACCTCTAACCACTGTAATGGTCGAACCTGAAGCTCGGAATACGGCCCAACACAGGAGAGACCAAGAGGCTAACCAAGCTTGGAAGAAGAAAAATAGCATAGCAAGAATCACGCTTCTGAGTGCAATGGCTGATGACATAATGTGCAAATTTGAGAGGCAAAAAAATGCACAAGCTATGTGGATAGCATTGAAAGATAAGTTTGGTGGTACTTTTACCACTAAACTTAGAAGGTTAACGATTAAGTTTGATGCCTACAAACTTAAGCCAAACAATCCTATGAAGCAACATCTAAGAGAAATGGCCAACATGATCAAAGAACTTAAGGAAGCTGGACACATTTTTTCTGATGAACAGCAAGTGCAGGCTGTTATCAAGTCGCTCCCTGCTAGCTGGGAGTACATGAAGGTTAATCTGACCCATAATGAAAACATCGTTACTTTCAACGATGTAGCTAAGTACTTGGAGCTGGAGGATGAGCTTTTAGAGGCTTACAAGACCTCTGGACAAGCTTATTACATTGAGGATGCTGGTACTTTCCAATCAAGGCCTGATTCCAAGAAGGGAAAGAAGTTCCAAAAGAAAGGGAAGAAGGCTGGTCCTCAACCCTAAAAGGGAAAGAAGCAATTTAAGAAGAAGGGAAAGCAAGGCGGGAAGAAGAAGTTAGACTGGAAGAAGGTCAAATGCTTTTCCTGCAGAGAATGAGCCATTTTGCACGTGACTGTTCAAAATAGGCTGAGAGCGAAAAGGTATTAGTGAATTATGTGAATTCATATGTTTCATATGTTTCTAGTACTGTTTTTCTAACAGAACTTGTTTTTTCTTCTTGGATTATAGACTCAGGCTCCACAGACCATGTAACCAGGGATCGAGGATCCTTTATTGAGTACCGTTAGTTGCTGTATCAAAGCAAGTGGCTTTACGTTGGGAACAAAACGAGAATTAAGTTTAAAGGTTTTGGCACCTGTAAATTTACTTTGCGTGGTGGAAAGACCTTGATACTCCATGATGTGCTTTACGCTCCAAACATCCGGTAGAACTTGGTTTCTGTTTTGTGTCTTTTAGAATTTGGGTTTAATGTAAACTTTCATAGTAAAGTTGCAGACATTTTAAGCAACTCAATCCTTTATAGTTCAGCTTTCTTATTTAAAAAGTTCTTTGTTTTGAATATTGTTGGTGATTTTAGTCGTAATGAATTCTTTGCTATTTCTTTAAGTAATGTTGACATAAACATCTGGCATGCTAGAATGGGACATATTAATCAAAATAAAATGATTAAATTAGCCAAAGAAGGGTTGTTAGGTGCTATTCCAAATATGGAAATATCCCTATGTGAAAATTATCTAGCTGGTAAGGTAACAAGAAAACCTTTCGGGAAGAGAACAAGAGCTGAAAATCCATTGCAATTAATCCATTCCGACATATGCGGTCCAATGAGTGTGAGGCAAGACACGAAGCTTGGTATTTTGTTACCCTTGTTAACGATTTTTCACGATATGGTCATGTCTATTTGATCTCAAATAAGTCATGTCTATTTGATCTCACATAAGTCTAAAGCTCCTGAGTGCTTCAGACGATATGTAAACGAGGTTGAAAATCAAATAGACAATAAAATTAAAGCAGTACGCACTGATTAAGGTTGTGAATATTTATCTGAACAATTCAAACAACTCTGTGAAGAGAAAGGGATAATTAGACAACTGACTATCCCTGGCACTCCACAACAAAATAGAGTTGCTGAAAGAAGAAACAGAACTCTTCTAGATACGGTTAGGTCTATGATGGCTCAAGTAAACCTGCCAATTTCATATTGGGGTGATGCTTTGTTAACGGCAACCTTCATATTTAATTGTGTGCCCTCAAAATTAGTCGCTTCCACACCCTACAAGTTATGGACGAAACGTAAACCAGATCTAAGCATCCTAAGACCTTAGGGGTCAATGGCGTATATCCATGACAGTTCCCACAAGTATGGGAACGGGTCCTAGAAGAAAGAAATGTATCTTCATAAGGTACTCTGAATAATCAAAGGAATACATTTTCATAGGTGAAAATAAAGGTGGAACGGTGACTGAAATAGAATCAAGGGATGCAACATTCATTGAGGCTAAATTTCCTAATAGAGGAGATGTTGACCGCACTGTTTCTCTTTATGAGATACAGGAACAAGAAAATACAAAACAAATTAACAAACTAGAGTCGTCTAGGTGTGTCAATTTGAGTGGGAGCCAAGAAAGGTCAACACCAAGACCTGAACAAAGAAAGAAAGATAAACAAACAACTCCCGTCAGAAGGAGTAATAGGAAAAGTATTCCCAAAAGATGCTTTCAAATAGAAGGCAAATCTTTCTTGGTTACTCTAGAAGGAGATGATGAGCCCTGTTCTGTATGAGAAGCCATGTCAAATCCTACCAAGAAGGAATGGAAGAAAGCAATGGAAGAAGAAATGGACTCGATGTGAAAGAACCAAGTTTGGGTGTTAGTTGATCTTCCAAAAAGGCATAAAGCCATTAGGAACAAGTAGGTTCTCAAGATTAAAAGAAAAATGGATGGATCAATTGACAAATATAAGGCTTGATTAGTGGCAAAGGGATACACACAACAGGAAGGCATAGATTATGAAGATACGTTCTCACCTGTTGTGCGTTTCAACTCTATTAGATTTATTCTGGCAATAGTAAGTAGTTTAGACCTGGAATTATATCATATGGATGTAAAAACTGCATTCCTAAATGGTAATTTGGATGAAAAAATATATATGTAACAACCATTAGATTTCATTGAAAAAGGAAAGGAGAACAAAGTTTGTAAATTTAAAAGGTCCATTTATGGATTGAACAATCATCCAAACAGTGGTATTTGAGGTTGATGAAGCCTTGTCGTTAGGGGCTCTCAAAATTACTAGAATTAAGCTTAGAAGTGCAGTGGCTCAACCCTAGGTCGATTCACAATGAGGCTTGTTGTTCAAGAGTTTTGTTAATTAAATGCCTTCACAAATTATTAACAGTGGAAGTGATCTGATTGTATCTAATTGATTTAACTATCTGTTCTACTTTTTATATTGATTTTCTGGTTTATGAAGATGTAGATGGCAGAAACAGAGGTTTAAGCGAAATGATATTCTTCCTAAGAGTGGTGACCGGACCTTCACAGACTAAAAAGATAATGGAGTTAAGAGTTACTTGCAGTCGGTATAATGATGCAAATATCAATCGAATAAATTGAAAATTCCCAAGATAGAATCAACCGATATCTACCATATATCATTCAGCCAAATCGAAATCTCAGTCAAACTAGACCTAAGAATCCAATCTAACCTACTTATACTCAAGGAATACACCGTCAATAAATCCAAATTGTAATCTGAATACATTATATCTTGCAGAAACAATTCAATCTCAGCCTAAAATCATAGTCAAAAGTACAACTAGACAATCAACCATGAACATAAACTGAAGATAAACTCCCCTGTCAGCATAGAGGCTCTGGTTCGGTCACACCTCTTAGGAAGGTGGAAGTTCAACTGCTCATGGCGTCTCGAGTTGCTTCACCAAGCTTTAATCCAGATTCAGCCATGGCAGACGCTCCAGGAAGAAGATGAAAATGATGGTGAGATGCGGATGAGATGGAGAGAGCTGAGACGGAGAGAGAGTGTATGGGGGAAGAATCGTGATCCCCTCAAAATCTGATTCTTTCCATTTTGTAACTAACTCCCTCCATCTGGTTAGGATTCGCGCCTTTCAGGATGGAGCTCCAAGATCCGAGTCGCCTACTTCCTCCTCCAGCTTCTATTCGCACGTTTCTGGTTTAATTTGCTGATATGTGTCATCCGCCGCGGCGCCTTCGTCCATCCGCCGCGGCGCCTGTCCTGTACGGTGCCGTTTTGATTAATGATCCTAAGCTTCATGAAAACCTCCGTCCGCCGTGGCGCCTTAGTCCATCCGCCGCGGCGCTTTTCACCGAGAGTACCATTGGAAATCTGCCGCGGCGCCTTCCCAGATCAGCCGTGGCGCCTCAGACAGAATGGCGAAAATGCTACTGAAACTTCTTGAAATTCATACCAAAGCAGGGATCAAAAGTACACACATATAAAATCATATAAAAACATTTAAAAACACTTGCAAAACCTCACAATTCCTTTCACCAACTCTTATGCACAATGGAAGCTAATTATGCCTAAAGTATGCAAATTTAGATGGCAAAAGCATGAGTTTAGGGCTAGAAATATATGCAAATAATGAGACTTATCAACTCCCCCACACTTAGCTTTTGCACTCCTGGGCAAATCAAGTCTAAACATATTGTGAAAGAGAAGGATGAGAGAAAGGAATAAGCAAGCTCAAAAGTTCAGGTTACAACTGCAACCAACAATGATTCTTCAACCAACATCCATCCATGGAACATTCTAATGCAAAGAAGTTAAGCAATGATATGTAATTTAATCCAAGTGAATAAGATATAGAAGACCACACAAGGGAATTAGTGTATCACTCAACTCACAAGTATCAAAGGTTCTTTCACTCAATTCACTTATTCAAATGCTCTACCATATGCTTGTAATAGCTCTACCTCTCCACCACTTAGATACATAAGTACTCAAGAGTCAAGAGGACTTTTGTGGCTTGTAATGTAAGGGATGGGAAGAAATGCACAAGGATGCATATGAGGATGGAGTTGATATGTGAATCAACGTGTAGAATTCAATAGCATTAGTAATGTTCAATTTAAGGGTTGATTTCTTGATCTTGAATTCCTAAGCTACAAAGGTGCTTTTATTCCCACTTTCTTTTCCTTTCTTGCTTTTTCATTTATTTTCAACTTTTCCATTCTCTTTCTCTCTGTTTTTTTTTCTTTTCTTCCTTTTACATTCGCATGTTTCTTCTTTTCTTTTCTTTCTTTTTTTTTTTTTTAAGTTCAAGTATGCATCTCCTTATATCAATCCATCAATTGAATCCATCAAAATGCTAGTGAATTCTAAGAGGAATTAATGAAATGAAATATGCATCCTTGTAGGAAAAAGGTTTTATAAATGAGAGTGAAATGAATGGAAAAATTAAGCTAAAAGGCTCAAATGGGTAACAAGGGATAAATCATGTGGGGTTTAGCCATTTGGTCTAAGTAGCTACTTTGAATGAATGCCTCAATCATGTTCAAGAGTACTAATGTTGCATGTGGTCTTGATTAAGAACTAAGACAAGTTCTAGAGAACATAAGAAATAAGTGAATGAATACATCAGAAATGAATATAAAGGCTCAAAGAATCCTTCCAACTAGGCTTTGTCTTCCATATTCATTCACTTAGGCTAAAGAACACATCATGCTTAATCTCAAAGTATTGGAAAATTTCACTTCATGATATCAATTTCCAAATCAAAATTAATCATAGATGCAACATTAAACCCTTGAAACAAGCTTAAACCTTCAAAAAGTTTTTTGAAAAACTGAGGATTTTACAAAAGACACAAAACGCACAAAAACACAACATTCACTCCCCCACACTTAATCCTTGCATTGTCCTCAATGCAAACAGACTAAAGATATAACCATGTGTATCAAAAATATAGCAAGAGACAAGAAATGGGACCAAGACAGAGGGAGCTTATTCTGAACAGC